AAAAAAAAAAATCACCCAACTCAAATTGAAAAGAAAAAAGAAAAAAATCACCCAACTCAAATCCTGAGACTGGCGACATCCTTTCCTTATTTCTTCCATCTGAGAAACTACCAAGTTTCTGTCAAGGAAGTATCCTCAATACTACAATAAATCCAATAAACTTGACTCACTTCTATTAACAGGCTTTCTAATGGTCTCCTTAGCGATCAGTGGCTGTAATACCCTGTGTGAAACATTCCGTAGCTCTTTGCTGCCTATAGACTAAAATCACTTGGGAAAAAAGATTACAAAGTGGTTAAGTTTATGTACTGGACTGACTGATTCCACACCCACGCCTAGCAGCTATGTGATATTAGATGCCTTACATTATTATTAATTATGTCCCAGTCTCAGTAATGTTTCTGAAAATTAGAGAAGCTAATTTTCAGTCATAGTGCTCACAGAAAGAATGAGGTATAGAATGTAGTAGGTATTCACCAACTGCTAGCAATTATTACTTGCATTTACCATCTATGACGTCAGGCACTGTACTGATGTCTACAAAGAGAAATCTGACTCAGAAATAGCTCCTTCACTAAGGAATTTAGACTCCGGTGGGCAAACATTAAGAGTCAACTCAGTAAGCACCTGTAGGCTTGGAAAGATCTCCGCAGATTCAAGAGCTCACAGTGCATTCTAGAACCTACAGTTACTTTTTTATTCACTTAAGATTCTCTTTAACTTTTTATTACAAACAATTTCTCATGTACAAAAGACATACATAATAGAAGTTAAAATGAATACCTGTGAAGTGACACGGTGGTCAAGAATTATCCTATCTGTCGTCTTACACCTTTGAGTTCCTAGGACAAGAAATGAAGATTTCTGTTTTATCTCATCAGGCAGCTGTTTCTGCCTGCTCTGCTCTAGTGACAAGTCAGAGAACAGGTTTAGTTCCTAGAGATCTTCAGGTTCATTTGGGGAGTATCCTAGTTTTGGGGTCTCTTGTGTCCACTGTAACCCATGAGGGCATGTGGGATCCAGCTGACACCCATGGAGCCTTTCTGCCCATGACTTGCTCAGAACTCTCTTTGAACAGTGTCGTCCCCCAACCTGGCTGGGAGAGCAGATGTCTCCTTAGCTGCCTGCATCACATATAAAAGTAGTCCCATATATGAAAATTATATAGAAGTAAGATTCAGAGATGTGAGTTCTAGATTGAGTAGCGCCATTAGCTCACTGCGGGCCATCACCCTTTCCAGGTCTCTGCCCCTTCTCTGTCAAGTGGAGAAGTTGGACAAGAAGACTAGGGAGGCCCCTCTCAGCTACAGTGGTCCTGAGTTCTCCATCTATTCCCTCTTGTTGGGTTCAATGAAGATGAACGCTGCCTCCTCTCTCCCCTCCAGTGGCATGCTCACTCTCCCAGCACTGTCTTCTCATTTCAAAGTTTCTTTCCCCTCAGCTTTCAAATATAAAGACACTTATCCATCTCAAATTCAAAACAAAATCTCTACTTGACCAGCTGATGACTATTTCTTAACAATGACAGCTTCACCACTGGGTGGGTTATTTGTGAAACCTCGACTTCCTTATCGCCACTGGCCCTTTGCAAAACTTTTTCAGATCCCAGCAACTGCTGTTATTGCTTCCTGGGAGGTCACTGATGGCTCCTAGACAAATTCAGCACAGCTCAGATTAACTATCAGTTCTCATCTCCCAAGAAAGTGGGCAACACTTCCTGAACTGTGGGTAGCTTTCAAGGCCTTGCCCCATGGGGGTGGGGGGTTACCCCCAAGCTAATCATTGTCCTTCCTCCCAGGCTGCTTCCTTTTAGCTATGAGACTGTAACTGCGTACTGGAAAGATACTCCTTCCTAAGAAGGATTTATCAGTGAAGGATGAGGTCATCTAAAAAATATGACAAGATGTAAGAGTAACAGTAATTAAAATGATAATGTTAGAAGATCTGGGGACATAAAGACATAACTTGGATGCTCTACAGAGAAAGAGTGGATAACACTGTCTTCTTGGACATCCATCACATCAGCTGCAATTCATCAGCAAATCTATCTCCTCTTCCAAACTTTTAAACTTCTACTGAGTGAAGGTCAGACAGCTAGAGCATTGAGAGTGCAAATCAGATGCACCTCAGAGGATCAGGTCGCTACTGATTCAGGAAGCTTTCTCTAACACATATCAAGCCCTCCACGAGAGTCGGGGGCGGGGGCAAAAGGAAAACCATGATTGATAAGTGACCTTACAGCACAAACTCGGGTCTCTCGGGCCTCTCTGCGAGCTTCAGGGCCTCATGCATGCCTGCTGCCGAGAGCTTCCGGTTGATATTCCGGTACTGGCACTGAAGCAGACTGCGATAGGTGGTCCGCAGGTCCCGGTTGAAGAAGGCATATATAAAAGGGTTAATGAGAGAGTTTGCATATCCCAGCCACAGAAATGTCCTTTCCACCCACAGTGGGACGCAGCTGCAGGCCGTGCCGCAGATGAAGGGTCTGGCTGTCGAGAGGAGAAAGAACGGCAGCCAGCAGACGGTGAAGGCTCCCACGATGATCCCCAAGGTGGTGGCTGCTTTCTGCTCCCTCTTAAAGATGGAGATGTTTTTCCTTTCGTGTTTGAGGAGTCTCGAAAGGTTGGCACACTCCTCCACCTCCTTCTGGAGCTTCACCATGCCGTTCAGGGAGATGACGCCGTCGGGCTCCTCCGTGCGGGGGAAGCCGGGGAACTTGTGTTTGGCCGCACTCTTCCTGGCCGCCTTATAAATCTGGTAGTACATGAAAAGCATGACGGACATGGGGATATAAAATGCCACGGCGGTGGAGTAGATCGTGTAGCCAAAATCCTGGCTGATCAGGCACACCTTGTCGTCATTGACATTCTGAGCCCACCCGAACAGTGGGGGTAGAGTGATGGAGGCAGACAGAAGCCAGACGGAGAGGATCATCTTCGCCATGCATTTCCCGTTCTGCCTCACAGGGTATGTCAGCGGCCTGGTGATCCCCAGGTACCTGGCGGTGGGGAGACAGAAAGACTTGTAAATGTCTGGTCATGACGGAGGAGCGCCGAAGTCCCACCAGCCGCGCGCCAGGGCTGAACCAGGAACTCCATTCTCAAAACTGCACTTCCAGGCAGCCTTCGGCTATTACCCCCACGTGGCAGAAAGGCACTGAGATAGTGTCTGTTTACTCCATGTCACATACTCAGCCAGCGCACAGCCTAAGAGCCTTGCACCTAGAATGCCAGTTCATGCTCTTTTCAGAGCTGGAGCTTCTTACATTCCATGCATTCAGTAAACTGAAGAGTAACCATCTGCGTCTCCCACCCGACACCCCCTAAGCCCTCTACCGCCCGACCGCACTACCACAGTCAGCCAGGAGCCCTGTGACATCGCCTCACAAATTAGCTGGGGTCTACCACACTCCGATATTATACACTCACTGCTCTTTCCGGTTGTCTTAATTCAGACCAGCTTTTAATTCACTCAACTTGCCCTTAGAGCTATAGCAAAAGCGTGTCTTTAAGAACACAGAGACTTGTGAGATATTTAGGAATCTTGGGGCCCTGGAATGGAACATAGCACAGGATCATTTTTCTACCTCCAGAAAATAATCACAAGAGAGTATTGTCAAAGAAACAAGCTATAAAATAAAAACCTCCTGCCTAGCCTGTCTCTCAAGTAGGAGTTCAAGAAAAGGCATCATTCTGAAAAATTATTAAGCAAACACAGAATTGTCTGGTTTCACTTCTAAAAAGAGAATAAATCTCTATCTCTGTTATCAAGGATTTAGAGAGCAAAAGACACTTAGCAGAGGAAACATATACGGTAAGACATTTCACCAAATGCTTAATAGTTTTCTGCTTTCCAAATTTATTTCTCCTCTGTTTGTGCTGGCTTTGGTTTCTATTATGGGTAGGATACAAAGAGCAATTAAGACAGAAGAGACAAAAACTGGCTATCTGTTTTACTCCAGTTATGCATATAACAGTGGAAAGTTACAGAAAGGTCCTAACATACCAACAGGTTATTTTCTGAAACTGTCAGTTGGAAGATTGACATTTAAAAAATAATTTCTGCTAGAAACTACAAGTCATGCTTAAAGTAACCAAAAAAAATTTGAAAATTATATTCTCATCATGAAAATTAGTATCACAGCAACACTTACTAGGTAAACTGAAATGTAGTAAAAAGGAATAAGCCAGATTGCTTATTCATGGAGAGTAATGATTCATTCCTTTAACAAATATTAAAACAGAGCTCCTTCTATATGCCAGGTGTTATTTTAAATGTTAGGGGTATGGCAATGAGGTATAAGAGACAAGTCTTGAAGGCGTGACCAGGGGTTCAACCCCAGAGTAATGCTGAAGGAACTCGGACCCTGCCAAGGATGCATGCCCCAGTTCATTTCACTGCCACTACCTGTCCCCAGTGTCCCACGCATTATCCCTAGGGCTATGCTTTGGCGTCTAAATACAATGATGGACAAGAAAGTGGGACATTTTCCTTAGAATGCATGAATAAAAACTGAAAGGGAAGGAAAAAAGAAAAGGAGACAGGAAGAAGACCATAAGTTAGGGAGGAGGACGGGAAGAGAGAGGGGAAATAGAAAGCCCAGAGAAGGGGGATGTGATGTTAGCTTGGGCTTAATAATATCATCTCAAATATGAGTTTTAAGGTATGGGGAGAAAAATTTCAGAAAATTAAAAACAAAACAAAACAAAAAAGAATTGTCTTTCTTTGCTCTTGTTCAGGATCCTGTTGAAACTCTGTAGACCTCTTAACTGAGCCTAGTCCTTGCCAGACCAGCTCTTACAATGTAGCTTTTTGTCTACTTCATTGTTTCCCATTTTCTCCAAGTGGCCCATTCTTGGACTTTATCTTTGTTTTTGGTCCATAGCCACAGGCATAAATTTCTAGTTCTCAAAGTTGGATTTGGTCTCCAAGACACCCATCCAGGCTGGAGGTCAAATAGGAGTTTAATTTATGCAGTTCCTCAGTTGGCCACCAGATGGCACAGCGAGGCCATCTTACATCTACTTTTGGGGTGTTGGGAAGTTCAGTAGTTAGAGCAAAAGATGTATATTGGAGGGACGTTGCACGAAACCTTGTATTTTATTTATGGGGATATTACAAAAGTGACCAAGGTTGGAATTAATAACCTGGTAAATTTCTGTTCTTAAGGAAGTTAGTTCAATTTTCTCTTCCATTCTTTTAATTTTACTTACTAAAATAGACCTCTTCGGATCTAATTCCAGTCTTCTGCCCACATATATAATATAGAATTCACAAGGATTAATCATAAGACACTGAGTTCTAAAAGACATCTTAGAATATTTGATGATCTCAGAAAGACAGCATGCTTATTTATTCTAGTAGACTTATTCTAACTTACATTTCAATGAAAGACTAGCCCAAACTCAGTCCTTCCGGGATATACAAATCTGTGTTCTATACTATGAAATATAAGCTCTGTCCCATGAGAGGCATCACTATCTACTCATTAGTCATATACTAAAGAATTGTATTTAGGGCCTCCCTGGTGGCACAAGGGGTTAATTCTCAGCACTATAAAGCCATTGCCAGTCAGCACAAGTTTGATCCCAGCTCAAGGAGCTGACCCACATGGTATGGCAGACCTCTCCTGTCTTACCCACTGCTCCCCTCAGCAGTGTATTTTAGTAGTTCTGCCTGTTCTGCTCCCCACTCTGTCTCTGGTGAATCCTCTTACCCCCACACCTCTGGCCTATACACCAGCCTTTATATGCATAAAAAAGTCTTTGAAAAAAATTTATTCACTTTTTTAAAGTCTCTTGGGTACTACTTGGTAAAATTTTTTGAAGGTTAAAATTAATTGAAATATGATTAGAAAAAAGTATGAGTGTACTTAGATATGTCTGGAAATAAATAAACAAGACCCAATCCTTTTAACAAACAACTAGAAAATACTATGGGGGGAAATAATTTTTATAAATTTGATTGGAAAACTGAGGCTGCCAGAGGGCAAGAATGGAAGATGAGGGCTAAGGTTGGAGCGGGCCCAGTGGGCTATCGCGTAGGTTTGTTAGTGACCGAGAGGTGAGGTGGTCAGGTCATGTACACCTGAGTAGGTGTGAACTTCTGCCCTTAAATCATACCTGGAATTGGTTTACAACCTTACCTGGTATTGTAAACCAACCTTACTTCAATCCAAAAAAAAAAGAAAGAAAAATCCAATATTGAGAAAGTGAAAAAAGAGGCAGTCTATCATTTTGCTACTTGGTATTTCAACTGAGAACACTTCTGGAGGACAGCTTGGTAATTAATATATGTCAACATCTGCCTTTTGGCTCAGCAATCAAACTTCAAAGAATTTGTCTTAAGAATATAAATTTTACATATGCAAATGATTAATGTATAAAGATATTAACTAAACACAGAGGGGGAAGCATACAATCTTAAGAATCTATCAATAAGAGATTAGATATAGTATAGTGTATATGTGTGTGTGTATGCAATATGTATTCTGTATCCCTACATATAATTAACCATTAAAATTTTTATAAATATGAAAACAAAAATAAATTTAAAAAAAGACATGTATTGATTGTTTTATGCCTACCTCGCCATTTGTATCAATGTGTGTGTAAAATGAAATGGCTGAAAAAATATCTTTCAAAATATTAATAGCAAATTTACTGAGTTGTAGAGATAAGTAGATTTTAAATTTTCCTTTGTACTTTTTATGCGTAATTTATTTTTGATTGTATGTTTTAAAAAGTGCCATTTTAATTCTAAGAACAAAATAAAAGATTTAAGTAAGAGGTTTCTGTGATTCCTAAGTCACCTAAGTGGTTTGGGCAATAAAGACAATCTGGTTCATAAAATATTTTAAAAGCTAACAATTAAATCTTAGGTTGTTTTACTTGATTAACTTGTCAAAAATATTTTATTACATTCATAAATTTACACAAAGGAAACAGAACTCAAGTGCATTTAAAATTCATAATTACTATACAGAGTAATATTGTTATTCAGGGAAGTGTTTGTCTAGATTATATATTCTTCCAAATCTTGTATAATATAAATCTTGCTTGTGAAGGAGAAAGAGAAATAAAAAGTAACCTAGAATGATTCTGAATACTCCCTTATGTGCATAATTAATATTTGTCACACTAACATTTTATGCTCACAGTTAATTAGAAAGCAGGGTGCTTATAAAGCTTTTAGATTTTAACTTTAAAATTCATACAAGTGTTAAAATATAGTACATCTTATACAGTACATCTTAGAGACAACGGCCCCAAAGTATTATATTATTGAAAAATGTATATATCTCACACTAGAGGCTCCATTACAGTAGATGTTTGGAGAAAAAGAGGATTAGGGAGTTATAATCTGCATCGAGAGGGATTTGAAAGAAAGCAAATTAACTCTGCCTCCTGTCTTCCTTTCTAACTGTACAGAAATTATAGATAATAGTTATTTAATTAAATGGCTTCTCCTGAGTCTAGTTGCTATGGAATATCACTTAGGACATAAAAGAAACTGGGTAGAATTACTCTGAAATACCGTGACGCAGGAATTGTGAAGACATAAAATAACATTTGCCGATTTAGAAAAGCTCCTTCAGGAGACTTCCTACCTTGAAGTAGGTGAACCTACCTGCTTCTCTAGCTAGTTTCCATGGACCCCAAAATTACTAGATTATCAGAATCACCAAAAAGCTCTTGCAACATAAAAGATTATTGGCTTCCGAGGCACAGGGCATCTTTTAACAGTCTGGAGACCCAGTTTTGCTTCGGATCTATTGTTGGGTTTTTTTGTTGTTGTTATTTATTTATCATAGAAGAACTGTGGCATAGTCCATTGTCCAGAGGTGCAGTGGGGGTGGGGGGCAGGTGGAGTGTTAGAGGATTCATTAGAGACAGAGTGGGGAGCAGAACTAGTGGATTCACAGAAATACACTGCTGAGCAATGAGAAAGAGAACAGAGGTCTGCTGCGCCATATGTGGGTTAACTCCCTGCTTGGGG